GGTATTCATCAAAGAACTGAATTTTCTTTAAAGCACACTGAAGAGTGGAATTTACTCTGGGACAAAATGGATATTAGGGGTATAGAAGTCTTCTGTTTTAAATCTTTGCCGCCTAATTGGTGGGTAACTTTCATTGGTAATTTAAGAGGGGATTTATAGTCTAATTCAGGAAGGAATACTTACTCTAGTCAGAGGGACTTCATGCTTCAGTTCTTTCTTAAATAGATTGAGCAAGACTTCGGCATATGTTAAAATATTTTCTTGAACTGGGACTTTAAAAGGTTTTATAGAATTAAATGGCAATATCATTGTACACATTATTAAAAATCCAGACTAGCGTTATTATTGTATAGAGATTGAGCAATATCACACATCACCATAGGATTCACTTTTTCAAATGGCCCCCTTGCAATCATTACAGTAATTTCATGGAAATATAGACACTGTCGCTCCAGAAACACTGGCTTTTCTAATTTCACTGTTTCACACAGCTACTACTGCAGAAAAGCACAACTGTTATTTTTGCCTGTCTCAGTTCACTCATTAACATCATAACTTTATATAGGGCTATTTGTGGTAGAAGTAAATTAACTCTTGATCCCACTGGTAGTAAGCTTATACTATATGTAAGAAAGTTTATTGACAGTATTTAATGTCTCTGTGTACTTCTTTTCACATCAACTCATTCTACATAAAATGTATATTTATGATTTCTAAAACAGCAGCAAGAATTTTATGTCTAGCCTAATGGCAATGAGATGTTAAGAATTTTTAGTGTCACAGCTTCTTCTTTTTAAAGGGGATGACTTCATCAGACACTCAGCAGCAGTAAATCAGTAGCTAGTATTGCTCACTAGATGAAATAAATAAAACTAAGTCAAGTAGTAACAGCAATACTAAATAGCTTTTCATTACTTAATCCATACAACATCTGTATCAACGTATTAGGAGTTACTACTATGCGTTGTTAACTATTAAAATAAAAACCTGAAAGAGTTAGGTCAATTCATATGCCTGAAATCTAGGGCTTTGTAGAAAAAACACGTCTTGAATAGTCAGCACAGCCTCTGGAAATAAAACAGATTATTACCTTTCAGTGATACAGAGAATAAGCAAATCTGTTTAATGGTGCTGGGTCATGCATTTTCTGCAGCCTGGGATACAATGCTTTAGAAATTGTCAGGTCAAATGCAAAGACATACTGATCTCTTCAAAAGTGAGCTTGTCCATAGCTTACAGTGGTCAGGTATAATCTTGTTAGACTTTATAAATATTAGGTGTACTACTGATTTACATTTTTTTTCAAACAAATATTCCATGGATTTAGCACTGTGAATTTATCTCACTTTTACCAAACTCTTCTTATGTGATAAAAAAAGTTAGGAAGCTGCATTTTTCTTCTCAAAAATTTTGAAATTATGTTTCTATATTTATTTAAAATTAGTATTCCTTTTTTTGTTTCTTTTTCACTTTTTAGAAGTTGTGTCCATTTATGTCTTTTCACATACTAAGGCAAATGTTTAAAATATTTTTGGTTTATGTAAATTTAGAAATACCTTCTCTATTAGCAGCAGTGAACTGAAAATCTTTTACTTCTACAGCTACATTTCATTAATATTGATAGTCTTTTTACCATTTATACACAGTTGATTGACAAGGTATTAGCAATGTATATACAATAAATGTGAGGGAGCTTTCTCCTAAGTAAGAGAGCAGGATAGCTAGGCTGATATCTATCCATTTCTTTATCTAAAAATTTTATCATGATTGACATCTGGTTTCTTCAGTATGTTTGTGAATTTACTGCAGGGGTAAAAGCTCATTGCTTCTTTGTTAGTGGAAGATGCTACCAGTTCTTCAGATCCACATGTTTATACTTTTGCAGATGAAATCATTTTTCATGAATGTACATTTTTCAAGCCTGAACAAGCAATACATCTACATTCACACAGTCCTCATTTTAACAAAATAGTTCTGTAAATTTTTGAGCTAAACTGATGTTAGTCAACAAGGAAGCGAGAAGAAACAATTAATATGCCAGTATTTCTGACTGTTGGTAGAATTCCGCTCATGTTTGTATAAATCTAGAAATTCATACTGTATTGTATCTTCAAGGCAAACAACTGTTTGACTCCCTATTTTCAAGAAATTTTTTTCCATAAACATAATAATTAGTCAAATTACTTTTAGCTGTTATCTTCTTTTGTAAAAGTTACCAATTATTTTTCCATTCACAAACATGAACTGTTCTGGTATGCCACTAAAAACATTTCTCAGTAAAAGCAGATTTTTTCTTGTACCTCATTCTCTTTCTATGTGGAGGAACAGATGGCATGGTATACACCTTGAATGAGGACACAAAGGAAAGGAATCTTAGAAGGCATACTCAATTTAAAACAGTTCAGTAATTGTTCATTTCTGATGTAAAATAAAGAAAAAAAGTAAAATAAAAGTAAAGCTTTTAACTGAAACCTACAGAAAGACAATTAATAAATTTAATTAAAAATCCTATTTTCTTTAGCTAACTTTATTTCCCAGAATGGCTTTGCTAATGAATAAAAAGTAAGTGAAATGGGATCGATAGCTTGTCTCCTCTTTGTTGTAATCATTACGTAGTAGTTCCCCTTTTTAAAATCTTTTCTCTCTCCTTAGTCTTTATTCTGCATCCCAAAATCTAGTCACTTTCTGGATTATGTGCTTCATACACTCCAAAATACACTTCAGTGAAATAAGTATTGCTGATTTCAACTGAAATATATACCAGCTTAAGTTCTTCATCCTGTGAGATAAAGAGGCTTGAGAGAGAGAGAGGTTAGAGAAAAAGGTCACAGTAGACTACTTATGGCAACTTCTAGCCTTTACAGAACAATATATTATCAAATGAAATCATGTAGACTTGTGGCTTGTTTTACTCTTGAAAGAAGAAAGATTCAAGGACAGAGTTTACTATCAGCTTCTTTCACAAATGATATCCACTTTTTCTGAAGTATCTTAAAGGGCAACTTTAGAAATTAAAGTTGGTAATGCTGTAACTTCACCACTTTTTTCTTCCCCATTTGTGATTAAAAAAAAAAAAGTTTTTTGAAAGGCAGAGGGTAGCTGTATTTTTTGTGCACTTTGTCTGTCCACATCTGTCATTTCAATAGAAAATACATTCCTGTAGGTTTCTCTGTTGGCTGTCACTATTCTGAATTGTGTGACTGCTGCATAAGACAGTAGAAGGATTAATTTTCTATGAAGGCTGAGGATGTGGTGTGGTTTCTCTGAAGGAATTTAGGACTTTGGAGTCTTCATCTACTGTTCTGCAGATTGCAAGTCATCTTTCTATGAAATAAGTACTACCTATGAATTCTATGGTATAATAATCGTCAGAACTGGGATTTGCTCATCAAAGAGGTTATTGTTACAGATGAAAATTCTGGCATTCAGTTTAAGTTGATGAAATTGTGATGTCTGTGTTTATTTGCATACACATATAAATACATACCACACATTTAATTGCATACTACACTGCCTTGACAACCACTTTGCTATTTTAGACAATGAAGAGCCTAGCATTTCAGAGTAGATTTCAGATACTGAATTAAATATTCTGTCATCATGCAGTTATTCCTCTGTAGCAACCAGTGGGGAGTAGGAAGTATTGCGTTTAAATGCAAAGTCAACATTTTTCTTGAGGAACTGCTTTAACTTAACGTAATGCAGTGATTCCATGTGAAAGCATCCTTGCGTATAGTCGTATGTGTGCATGTAACTAAAGCTGTAGGATAGGTTATTGATAGGTGTTAATTAAAGAATGGCAATCCTCCATAAATTATTTACAAGGCTTTCTCAGAAGCAGCAGCATGACTGAAGGGTTACTTGTGTGTTACCTATGAAAACAAAGCAGAAAAGGAACAGATATATGCTAGTTTAAGATGTTTGTCTGTCATTGCGTAGCAGCTCTCTGAACAGTGCTCCCAGCGAGCTGGCTCTCTGCACAGTATGGGTGCAGTCACTCAGATAGAGGCTTGGTGCAATCTTATGTCTTTGTAAACCTGAATTAAATCAGCCCTTAAAGAGTTTTGAAGTTACAGCACCAGAAGAACAGGAAATGGTTGTCCTCTGGAACAGAGTTATGTCACCTGCTTCTTCTTGACTCTCATGTTATAACATGATTCAAATATTATCTCTTAATTCACTGTTAAAGTGTAGCATTTTGCTTTGTGGCTTTTGTGTCTCCTTTGTGCCACTCTGGGGAGGTGCCTGGGGTTCCCTTTTTCTGCTGTATGTCTTGAGGTGTCTATCAGCCGTACCATGCAAAAGCTAAAGGCATGAACAAGAGCTGCAGGAGCAATTGTGGGAGAGTAGAGGGGGGCTAAAAGCATTCACAAGTGCACAGGTGATTTACGCATTCCTATGTCCAAAATGCAAACTGCCCTTTGGCAAAACCCAAGCTTGAGCTTATCTAAGATTTAAGGCTTAAAGTAGGTACTTCTCCTCTGTGGCTGTTAGGAAGATTAAGTCTCTCATCCATGCTAGAGTGCTTCAGCTAAATCTAACTCTGACTGTTGGAAAGACTTACACATAGAATTATGGCACAGCTGTGGAAACTACTGCTATTGTTTTGGTTGGAGATTTCTGAGAAAACCTCAGGGGGGAAAAAAAGCATATTTTTTTATACATACATGCTACTGTGAATGATTCCAGATCTGAAAGAAGGAGGTGCACAGCTGAACCATGTTAGAGAGCAAATTGTGCACAAGCACAGTGCAAAGCCAGTGCTGTTACAAGAGGCCAATGCCCTCCTCCCATTGCCTGCATGTGTGACTAGAAACATAACGGACAACCATATAGCAAGCTATACATCTTGCTTTCTTTTTAAAAAAAAAAAGTCTTTGCAATGAATTGCTAAGGAGTTGTGTTCTGGTATATGAAAGCTGCATAGCGTTGCATACATTTGCTGATGCATTTTGGTCATACATTTATTTCAAGGTGTCTTGTCGATATTTCTATTCCAGGTTCAGGTCCTTCGCAACGCAGGGGAAGAAGTCACCCTAACTGTGTCCTTTCTGAAAAGAGCACCTGCTTTTCTCAAACTGCCACTGAATGAAGATTGTGCGTGTAAGCCTTTATTACTTGATCAAAAGAAAACTCAATTCAATGCTCATGAACACTTGCAGCTTCTGAACCTACTGTGCATTCGAGGTGACTGACAGCAGATTTTTTGGTCAGCATTGCTGCCTGAATATGAGCTGCTCAGATTGCCAGGTCTTGTAGTAATATTCACCTCAAGCAAAAAATTGCTATCCTTACTTGAAAAACAGATGACCAGGCATTTGGCTGGTGTGAATCAGCAAAGTTGCAGGTAAAACAGTGGAATTACATTTGTTTAAAGTAGTTCACATCCTAATGCAGGGTATTTAAAAGCAGTTTTTCAGGCAGCATCATGTAATATTTTAGTCTGAAAGGGTTTTGTTCTTGCAAGTGTGAAAATGAGTTTGTGTGTGTATATAAGAGGGCTTAGCTTTACCATTTAAAATTCAGCGGCTTTGGTGGAGGTGTCTGTCTACCTAAAAATAAATTACTCTGGGATGATTAGTTTTGTTTAAGTTCAATCGAGTTTTAGTCAACTAGCCCCATGAGAGACATACGGAGACAGCTGTCTTCCTTTAATTATATTAAATTGTAAGTGTGAGTGCATAATTATAGACAGTTGCAGCATATCTAAGCATATTTATATGTCAGCCTCTTCCTTTTGTCACCGCTGCTTTCATTCTTCTTGCTCCTAAGAGGATAAAATGAATTGCTTAATTTTCAAGCAACAAAATAATAAATGTTTTATTTCAATACTTTCAGCATTTGATTTTAAGTTAGTAGGAACTGAATAAACTTGAAAATAAATTAAGAATAAATTACAAAATAATATTTTATACAATAATTTGTTGAAATGCTGGCTTTATCGTTCACCTAGGTATTAAATTTTAGTGAGAGAAGAAAAAAATTGGAACGCTGCATTCTTAAATAAAAATGTTTCCCAGTATATTTGTCCCTTATATGAAAGATTATGTTACCACAAAGTACCCTGAGTAACATGCACAAACATGCATTTGCATCAATCCTGTTACTAATCCTAAACTGTTATGAGAACAGTTAGAACTGTAAACTTCATTGAGAGTAACAAAAGCATTATTCTAACTAGTTCCTTCAAGTGAAAACCAAGCAAATAGTTATACACTTTCCTTTTATTATCAAATCTGCAAAAAGCTTTGTTTTGTATTTTTTTTCTTTCTAAATGGATTATTAACTTTTTTAAGCAAAGCACCAGGAGAGTGAATCTTGAGCCTCCACTGAGCTTAAAAAGGCACTCTTCTCAAACCAGGAGACAGACACTGGCTGAATGGAGAAAGTAAATGAATGTTAGATATCCCAAAACCAGTGAGGGGTTTGTATACATACAGACATACACACATTTGAATTATAACATTATAGATTAATGAATGTGTTTTGGTGCATTCATGTTTGTATTAGGTGCCCCCAGTGACCAAAGCAGTGGCACATCCTCTCCTCTATGTGACAGTGGTTTGCATCTCAACTACCATCCTAACAACACGGTAAGAGCTTATATTTCTTTGATAGGATTACACAGAAGAATAATAATGCTACAATAGCTAAGTGGAAGTAACTAATAAAGGACAGCCACATGGGAGGAGATGTGATTAACACTGGAGATAAACACAGGGGGCACAAAGACCTTCCAGATATTATGGCTGCAAATTATACTATGACAAATTATACCAGTTGAGATTGTACCTTGATAGACGTGATTACTAGTTTTAGCTTAGCAATAGGGATTTTGCGAAAGCTTTTTCTTCTAGATTGTTTCTACAGCACAGGAAAGAAAATTGTTAAAATAAAAATATATCTATTGAAAGAAAAGATCGAAAAGTTCTTCAGAGTATTTTTCCATGATTTTTATTTAATTTATTATCTAAAATTTTTGGCAAAGGATGATTTAGGTATATGTTTTTGCCTATTTTTAAAGAGCATTTTACTTCTAGTAACTCACACTTAAAATCTTACTGAAGAATGATAGCATTATGGAGTAGAGTCTCTTTAGGATGAAATGCTACAGATATCTGATCAGATTTTTAAATGAAAGATGCCTTTGAAGTGCAACAAGAGCATTTTAATGATTTTGTTAGTCAGGAAATTGAAAATTTCCAGTTTTAAAGTGGTCTTTGCTGTGTATTTGGCTTTGTGAGAGGGGAAAATACTCAGGTAAAATAAAAAGCACTGGATAAATAAACAAATATACGGCATAATTATTACAGATATATTTTTTTAAAAAACTCAGAAATGTAGGCATTTTTAGGTAGACTCTGCTGTTTTTTATTTCTGGCTTGTTTTATTGTTCTTTCATACGTCACTGGTAAATGTTTTAAACAGCAACTCAGAGACTTAAAAGTCAATAGCACAGATTTAATCCTGATATAATCTGGAAAACCTTTAGGATTTATCCACTTTTGTGGGAGCTGGAATTCATAACAATAGGATAAAGCCAATAAAACTAGTGTCTTAATGCAAGTCAAATAAAAATACTTAATACATGTGTGTATGTATATATATACACACTTACATATATAACACTAGTGCAACAACATCAGAAACAGACTTTTCTCAACAGTCTGTATATGTATGCATGTAGAGAGGCTATTGCAGCAGACCCGAAACTTATTTTGCTAGGCACTTCATTTCTAACTTTGCTTTTAGGGTAAAAAGCATGCTTCCATTTGTGATTCTTATTTCTGCACAAGTTGAAACTGATCTAAACTAGTTACAGTTTCTAATTGAACTGATAATAATTTACTGAAACCAAGTCTTTTTCTCTCTGTTTAAATAATATAACAATGCATCGTGTATCTGTAATTCACTCTAAATTCAATTCTTCTGCTGAAAACCAGTATGTGGATGTCCCCTTGTAATGGGAATAGAATGCTTCTTATAACCAAATACGACCTCTGTATGAATTCCTAAATTATATGCAACACTTATATCATGGTCCTTACATTTACTCAGTATATTCTCTAGAATGTATTATGACTTACGGCCATAGTCTATTTCTTCATTCACAGCCTTGGTGTTTCATATAACAGAGGCTTCTGATTCAGAATTTGGAATAAACAAGGCTGGGTTTGGTCTTTTGCCACAATTCAGAGTTATGCAGGTTAAAGGTAGGATTAACGTCTCTGTTGCAGCAAGGTCTAGGCTTACAGTTTGCATCTAAACTTTTTACTATATTTCAGCTTTTTCCTCAAGTTTAATCACAGCTGAAAAAAAGTTCCTGAAAGCAGACAGAAGATGTTAAAAATTCAATAATGTTTAAAACAATGCCCTAGCTTAGTCTTCCTAGCCAATCATTATTTATTTGGATTTAATCTATGGAAAGTTTCACCAAAGAATCTATGTTTCAAGTAAGTGAACCTAACTTATGAAAAGCCTGTCGTTCAGTTAAATTGATGTTCATAGCAATCTTTTATTTTACATACATAAAAGATATATGTAAAAGTGAAGTTCATGTTTGCAAAACTTTATAATTCCATAGATCTTACACAAAAATCACACTCTAGAAAAATACAAGGTGTACTTAATTTTTGTAGTGTTTATTTTATAGAAGATACAAGTAATAAATATAGTATGAAGTCTGAAATTAAAAATTTGTGAATGATGCAGGATTCGCAGGAACAATTTTACTCATACTGAGTACTAAGTACTAGTACTAGATAGATTTCAGTGAGAATCATGTTTCTTCAGAAAAATAGCATCATCACTAGCACTGTATTGTAAAGCATTTTATAAAGAAGGGAAGAGATGTTGGATTTTCAAAAATGTTGATAATTTTGCTTTTTATTAAAAGAATTTCTCATTCAAATCTATATTCTGTAAAAATACTGGTGAAATTAAACGGTAAATGTTTAAATACTCATTCTTTGTAGATATGACCACAGACATGATAAAGTTCCATTTTCATATAAGTAATGTCTTGTGTAAATAGGTAAAATTAAAATACCGTAAGCATATAGTTTTAACTAAACAATTTTCATCACATATTAAGTCACATTTGCAATTACCAGGCTTTGAGGTGATGTCATGAGAATACACATATATGTAAATGGATATGGGACCACAGGAAACAATTGAATTATGGTTGTACAGTGAGATCAACTGAGATAAACTTTATTCAGGATAGAGGTATAAAACTAGTAACTGATGATGTGATATGTAGTAAATACTTCTATTCGTGACTAGTCATTTCAAAAAAAGGACACAATCTGTTTTTCCTATGTTTTTAGAATACTGTTCTTCACACTTCCTCTAAGCATATTGATGTTAAGGTTTATATAGATTTGTTTTATATGAGAGAAATAGTTCAGAATCTCACCAGTGCTAGCTAAAACTGATGCTAAATTATTTGGGGAACATGGAAGATGATGCCACATGAAAAATGAGTCTTTGAAGTCTCTCTCTCTTTTTCCAAATCTGCTGAGTGACGTATAGTGAAGCCCAAAACTGAGAAGGACTTTTTAATGTTTTTCAGGATACATTATCGTGTTCCTCATGGCCAGCATCCCCAGGACTTAGGTGGGAAAAGAGGTGGTGTGATCTCCGGTTAATTCCCCTTCTTCATTCACGGTTTTCCCAGTACCTTCCAGGATCAGATTTGTGCAGGTAAAGAAGTTCAGAAACATGAAACTTGATTTCATGGTTGACAGATACAAGCCTTAAGGAAGTTGCCTTGCTAGAATAATGGCATTATTAGTTCCACTACAGCTGTCAGAGACATGAAACATAAGAGCTTTCATAAAGGTCTGTCTAGATCCACTACAACTGCTATTCTGCTCTGACATCAGACACGACCAGGTATGTAGGGAAGGTGTATGATCTTCCCATTTGCGTCTAATGGTCAGCATGTTTCTCAGTTTGAGATTGCACTTAGGGCATCATATTTAATACCTGCTAATGGTCCTGTCCTCTAAAATTTCTTTGTAAGCTGCTTTTTTTATACCTTTGGTTTTTGAAATGCACTGTGGCATTCAGCTCTGCAATGTAATTATGTTTTTAAAATGCATGCACTTTTTTTTTTGGTGTCAAATCTCACACCTGATAACTGCATTGGGTGAAATAATCTTGTTGTTCAGGAACAACAAGGGCTGGCTGCCCCATGGGGAAGGCAAGCCAAGAGCAGAGGGTGGTAATGGAGAGTTTTGGGTAACAAGGCAGTTTTAACATAGAAAAGGGCCCCATCTGACTGCCCCTGTGGAGAAGCAGAGCAGTGTTCAGGTTAGTCCATCATAGTGAGATGTGGCTCAGGTCAGGCTGGGAAGTAAGCACACAAGTTGGATCTGAATCAATGGGATACATGTCCAGGCACAGGCATAGCTACACCCAAATTCAGGCGAGGACCAAGGGCAAGGGCCTGAGCTGACACACAGCTTCCAAGGGAAAGGAGGAGGATGGCTCCCCACTCAAGTGTGGATCCCCACAGCAGCCTGATCCCACAACCCACAGCCACGCCGTGGCAGAGCTGGCCTCAAGCACAAGCAGCCAGACACCCAGGAGTGGTGGACTCTGAGCCCCAGCCCTTGTATGAAGGGAAATGCTAAATAAGCATTCTTGATTTATCTTTTTCTAACTTCAAGTGACTGTCTTCTGTTTTCCAGTTTGAAGGATCTCTGTTGTTATCTCCTTTTAGGGAAGCCCTTCCATAGCTCTGATTATCTTTGTTATTCTCTCTGTTTCTGTATTAATTCTAATTGATCTCCTATGAGACAAGTTGATCAAGACTGCAAGGAGGATCCTTCTCAACTTATATTAAGACATAATGATATTTTCCATTTTTTTATCTGTTCTTTGCTAGTACTTTGTAATAACCTATTACCTTTTAACTGTCACTGAACACTAAGGTGATGGTTTTTAGAGAATTGTTTGTAGTAACTCTTGCATTTCTTTCCTCAGTGTTTACAGCTACAGTAAGGTTATTTGTTGCTTACATATAGCTTAGATTGTTTTTTCTAGTATTTGTTACTTTGTATTTATTAACACTAAAATACATTGACATTTTGTCTCCCAATCACTGGGGAAGCTGTCCAAAACTCATAGTTGGGTTTAAATGTATTGCATCATATAGACCTACAATTTGTCATTATTTAATATTATCCTAGTAAATCAGCAGAAATCAGAAAGGAAGGCAAGAATATTCTGGAATGACTACTGTTTTTCAAGTGTTATGCATTTAAATAGAAAATAACCACAAAATCAGTAAGGCAAAGTATATAAATATGATCATACTTGTTGAAGTTTGAAATACCTAGGTATTTGTCGATACAAGAAGGACATGAAACTGTTGGAGCAGGTCCAGAGGAAAGCTACAAAAATGGTCTGAGGACTGGAGCACCTCTTCTATGAGGACAGGCTGAAAGAGTTGGGATTGTTCAGCCTGGAGAAGAGAAGGCTGCGGGTAGATGTTATAGCGGCCTTTCAGTACTTTAAGGAGGCTTGTAAGAAAGCTGGACTGTTTACAAGGACGTGTAGCAATAGGATGAGGCGCAATGTTTTTAAACTAGAGCTGTGTAGATTTAGATTAGACATTAGGAAGATGGTCTTCACTATGAGGGTGAGGTCATTAACTGCAGGACAGCTATGTACAATCACAGAGCATATTTCTCCATAACTTCTTCTTACCTATCAGAAACATTAACTTAAAAACAAAGAACTTTGTGCTTATCATTTGTGAGGCTGTGAGACCTTACAATTTGAAATAAGCTCTGGGTTTCCCATGTTGCCTTCATGTCTGCCAACTAAGGTGTGTGAGTCTGGGAAGAATTCCGTGTTATGCTATACCCTGACAGCTCATCAGGCATTAGCGGTTTAAGATTTCCTGTTCCTCTGTTCATACACATGTAAAATTACCTAATTAATACATAAAAGTTTCATTAATAGTTCTGGAAAAACTATTTTGTGAAAGAACCTTCCCAGTATCTTATCTCTGTTATTATACTCACCCCTCTGGTGTTTCTGTGGGTCCTACAGTCAACTGCCTCCAGATGGGGGTTATGATCTCCCCCAGAAACTAAAGGAAGAAGTGTGTCCTTCAACCTTGCTTTGGGGTTTGTGTGAGATGAATTTTACTGTTTCTTATCACAGCCTGCTTCCTTCTTACTGGTTCTCAGCAAGCATTTGAAAGTTGCACAAAAGCCTCCCACAGACTCAGTTAATTTTAAGTGCTGTTGTTTCTAAGTACACTAACTAGGTCTGCCAGCTTTTTCCTACTTGCAGGGCTGAAATTAAAGCAGGTTAGGCAATAGCCATTTCATCACTATATAATTGTGAAGCTAAAATCAGCCCGCAACTTTTGATTGGTAATAGTAAAATCATATTTACTTGGCTTCATGATCCTTGTTTTATTGAGGAGCAATGGCTGGCCCATGGAGTCAAGGTGTAAACCAGAGTCTACAATGGTTTATTGGCTGAACTGAAAGGGAATGGGATATACTCACCACAAAGGCAGGAGTTTTTTTGTTATGTATGTGAGCTCAGTGTTTAACAGTGATTGAAATAAAAGTAATTAAGAGCATGAAGCATTAAGGGTCCAAAATCATAACAGTCAAATCTGAGATCTGTTCTGCTGTATACTTCAAATAACTTATTGAATTGAATAGAACTATCCACATGTAAAATTTGGACATATTCCACTATTTGTAGATCTAGCGTTTTAAAATTCAGTCTTCTGCATCAATAAAACACAACCTTAAAGTGCACATTATAGAACTTGTACATTACAGAGAAAGACATTTAGGTAACAATGATATTCCAGAGATTTGAATTTCCAGAATATAAATTTAAAAGTATATTCATACAAATGAAAAGGTCTAAATTCATACTCTAACCTTGAATAACTGATAACTTTCTCCTTGTGTCCTTTTATGCTGTCTAAAATAAGGAAGTAAAGGTACTTAAAAGAAACAAAAATGCATTATAAATATGAGGGAGGAAGTGGGATTTTCATTGTCATAGAACCGACATTTTATGTTGCTAGCAAGACAGTTTGTAAGTCTTTTAAGTTAGTTTAAGCATCTTAAAATGTGACTACCTCTCAAAATTTGTTATGAAAGAAAGGTAGATAATTTTTAAAAGAGGCTGCTGTGAAGAGAAACATTAAGGAAAAGATAATGAAAATAATATAAAAAGTAACATAAAATGAAATTTAATTAATTACATTTTCTGTAATTAATATTTACAAGGCTGTTTTCACTATGTAAAGCATAATAACATTTTATGTTTCAGAGTTTGAAACATAAAATACATCATATAGGTACTGTTACACATCATAATTGTATTCTGGCTTTTCTAGTGGAATTCTTCAGTTGTATGAATTCTAGAGGATATTCATAAGAAATTCCAGAGGGCATTCAGGTTAATCTCAGAAAGCTTATTCATTTCAAATATCACTCCTGCATTCCAAAAGGCATAGAACCTGAGATGGGTAGTTGAATAACAATTCATCTGATCTTAACTTTTTTGCTGTGTTGTAAAGTGACTTACCTACTATTTCTTTTATTTAATACAAAACATGTATTTAATACTTTATTTTTTTCAGGTTTATGTGATTCTATGGGCTGGCTGGTAGCCCAGTTCAAAAAAATGCTATTAAAATAATCTAAGGCTAGGGATATATACTGGCCAGTCCACATTCAGAAGTAATTTATTAGTTAGTGATACATCTTTTAGTCTGTGTTTATTGATACTTGGACAAGAATATTCTGGATTCTGCTTTTGTATGTGCACAGATCAAATAGGAACAGTAGGAACAATCTGATGTCCCAAATGTGTCAGATTCACTGTGTTTGGGAAGTGTAAGTAGTACAGTAAGTAGTAGTAGTGTAAGGGAAATTTGTGCATCAGGTTTGAACCTGGAACATACTGAGTTTTCTTTCTTTGTCCAAGTTAGAGTCACACATTAATAGATTAATTGGATTCTTACTTTGGTTTACAATAGGCTGAGCAGAAAGAAGGGGAGTCCTGAAAATAATGTGGTTTTCTTCCTGAAAGAAATAATCAACAAATGTTTCTGAGCATCATGTTATGCTCTTTTCTATAAGGACTTATTTAGAATTTTATTCTTGAAGAATTTACTATATATATTTAAAGCCATTTAAAATAAAGGATATAGTAAACATATACTACCATTACCTGAAGATGCCTTAAACAAATCTTCCTCAAAAATACTTCCAAAATTATTGTGAAAATGAGTCATTGAAAGAAGTAACTCTCAGTTTGTGCCTTTGGATTTTAAAGAAAAATCACTACCCCTATGAAAAGGCAACCAAACTGATAAGTTAGCTGATGGATTTAGATAAACCACTGGTCTCTACATGATCATGTTAGGATATATAAGACTAATCCTTATGTAAGACCTAGTTCTCATGACGGGACTCTCAAAGCCAAGGCATGTCTCTAATACATTTTTAACATTTCTCCTAACTAAAGGAAAAGCCTATGTTTGACATGGATGCAGCAAAGACTGTTATGGTAGAGAGAGATATTAGCTCTACATTCTACGCAACAAGAATATAATTTCAAGAGGTAAAAAAAGCCAAACCATTGAATTGGTATCTCCCTTGGGATGTCAGAAACCGTCACCAGTGACACTCAGTTTTAAACTGAAGATAGATAAGTCACTTTACCTGAGCCTTTCTTAAAGAATCTGATTGATGTACTTTAAACTATGAATTCATCATTAATGGATGGGTTGTAGCAGAATGCCAGCAGTGGAACTTGGTATTCTCTGTATGTGTAGTAATCTCTTACTCTGAGATATGGATTAATATTGAGGTTTTCTGGTTCTGAAGCCAGATATCTGTGAGCTTTCCAAAGGCTGTTAGCCAAGAAGGCTGCTCACTGAAGAAATTAGGTTTGCTTTAGCATCTGAAAGTTTTCTCTTGTTCTGTAATTGTTCAGCACTCAGCTGTGGAAAGTCAGCCTATAATGCATGACAGATTATTGGGTAGGTGCCCAGATTGGTACTGGGACAGAGGCACCTAAGTGGCCACTGCTTTTGTCATTGAATGTCTTTTGGCTTTCCAGTGTATTTTGCTATTGATCCTCTATTCAGAAATGCAATTGGAAAAGTCATTAATGTTACCTGATTGATTTTGAATTCTGCAGCTTTTCTATCAGTAGTTTAGAAGATTATCACAATTCTCTAACCAAGAGCAGCCAACAAAGGGTATTCAAACAGGAATCTTACTGTATTTAAGCAGTGTATTAGAAAAAATTAAAGTTGTTGAGCAAAAGGTACTGTATTCCACTGAATTTCTCAAATGATTGCCTATGGTGTCCAGTGCACACTTTCCTTCTCTGTGATCCTCAGTATTACAGTATTAACTCTTTGGAATGCATCAGCTATTGCACTTGTTTAGCTTTTGAAGTCATATAGTGTTAGTGAAGGTTCTGTGGAGCTAGTCCGTGGAATTTTGTATAGCTTTATGGAAACTTAATGTAGTCTGAGTTGACCTTTTAGCGTGACCTTTTTAATATGTCAGGTATTTATAAAACAGGAAAACCAGCAATTTATCAGTGTTCAGTGGCTGACCTTCGTTGTAGTTGAAAGAAAAGCATTTCTACAAGTATTGTTAAGATGATATGCTAGAACAGATGAAATTTTCTTCTGACCTGATCTGTTATGACATGTCTATAGGCAAAATGCGTTCCAAGTAATTGCTGTGGATGGGGTTTGCAGTGGAATAATTCAGTGTCTCTCTGCTGAAGACTGTATTGACTGGCTACAAGCAATAGCAAGTAACATTTCCAACCTCACAAAGCACAATGTAAGTATGGATCCAAGTAAGCCAGAAGGTTTCCCGATCATATTTGATTATAACTGTCATAAAAGCCTAATGGGTTCACACACAGAATTATCTGCATATAAACAATGCTTGAGGCTGTCTGAGAGAAGTCAACTCAAGTTTGTCATCAAATCAGACTTTGTGAGAAATCATTGAATGGGAAAATATTTTACCCTACAGTCATATAGTTCACTTCATCGCTATCAGAGTTATTCACTTCTTAGCAGTACCAGCTAGCATTAGAAACAAAGACCAGATGCACCGGAGAAAGCCAGGTGTAGATGGGTAAGCATATCTAAAATTACAAAAATCTGGACTTTCTTGATAGTTTGAGAAAGCACATTTAAATAAATAGTGACATAGTCAGATTTGAATTCGGTATTACATCTGTTTAGGAGAATGACAAGGAGAATGACAAGGTGCTTCTGTGATATAGATACAGGCAATTATCAGCAAAGATTAAATGCATTTATGCTTCATGCGCTGTACTTTTATGATCTGATCTTGTGGGATAGATATCTCTTTTTACTGAAGCAAAGATAAATGTTATGCAGAGTTTTACCAAACTACTAGTAAGTTCAAGTGAAAGGTCTTCTGGACCTGCCTAGGATGCATTTTGAATTTGATAGATGATATGTAGTTTTTCCTGCAGTCCATATGATACCTCTCCTGATTCTCCTCAAAAATAGAGAACACAAGGGTAACTATTATTTTGTGTTGAGTTTTAAAAAGGAAGCCCTTGAAGATTTAATTTATATTCCCTCAAATTTACTTCAATCTACTTTAGCTTTTCAATCCTGCCTCTGAATTTGCTTTTGTTGCAAATACAGGGAACACATTGAAGGAAGTTGTATTTCTTGGAGATTTATATTCAAGATGCAAAACTATGTTCCATCTGGTTGCAGTATGTAAAAGTCATTGTATTATAAAAATGTGACAGACATGTATTCATCCACCACCACTATACAAGCCAACTTTATGGCTATTTATTCATCCTTAAAATGCTGTAGCTGTATAGAACCTTTCTTGTCTCACTAGGCATCCTGACAAGTGAGAGTGCTGATTTTTATTCTTTACATCTTTAGTTCAGACTATTAATTATTCTTGCTACCTAAAGTAGTGTATTTGTTTATTTATAACTATAGATAGATGCACCTAAATTTTGTCTGATAATGCTTTGTATAGCTCCGATGAGATGATAGTTGTTTAGTGTAACTTGAATTTTGTTAAGGCACTGTTATGTGATATATTTTTTGTGTTTTAAAAATAAGTACAGTTTATAATTCTGCACTAGTTTCCATTAAAAACAGAAGCAATGTATGTGATGTTTATAGGATGGAAATAGTAAATTATATAACTATTATGCCAATCTTTATATTCACTTTATCCCAAAGACATCCTGTAAAGTAACTGTGAGAAGTTAGGTCTTATGAGAATTATTCATGAATCTATTTTTAGAACTGTCTTAATTGTTCGTAGTCCATATGAATTTGTGGAAACCAGTGAGATTTCCTTTTCTGTTACATACTTTTCTTTCAAATTGTCAGTTGCCAGAAAGAATTAGTTATTTGACAGCAAATGTAATAAGTGAATATGCGAAACATTAGAAACACACAGGGTAAAAAAACCCAAACTGTTGCTCAGAACAATGATTAGATGTGATCAGATGTCCCTATATTTTCTTTATTTACAAGATGGCTATTGACATATACATACTGTTGATGTTAGCATTTTTCCTCTGAGAGAGGCATTTACTCACAGTCATTGTCCCTTACTGTGGCACCCAGTAGCAAAGAAAAAAAGAGAGTATAGGACTTTATTTGAACTTTTGGACAAATTGACTGATTTTTAGTTTCAGTTAACTTCTTATTTCTGTCTGGAGGTCATGGAAAATAATTTGTTTCATTTAATACTGTGCAGGTCATAGAATGTTA